GGAAGGAAGGAAGGAAGGAAGGAAGGAAGGAAGGAAGGAAGGAAGGAAGGAAGGAAGGAAGGAAGGAAGGAGAGAGAAATGACAGCTAAGAATTCTCCATGCCTTTAACACGTTCCATACCAGGAAGGGATAATGTGATTCACTTAGAGGCCTGCTTTTGGCTCCTCGTCAGAGGAAAGAGCCAAGTCACAGACACTTTAATTAGAAAGTGGACTTAAAGCCTTCCAGCTTGGATTTTACACAAGACTCCAGATGGTAACCACTCATGAACACACTACTGGTCTAGATTAAATTCTAATTATTGTTTTGTGGTGTGTACTTGTGGCATGCATGCACACACACTCCACACCTTCTTTTCTCATTCGCACCAGCATTAAGTAATTTTTAAGTAATACTGGAGGGTAGACCCCATTGCAAGTAACCACAAGACTCATGAAAGAAAACAATGACTTGGGTTGTCTAGAGAATCTTTAAATCTAATATGTGGGCTTTTTGATAGAAAATATTCTAGTTTTTAAAATACTTTTGTTCATATAACAGAGTGTTTCTCAAACTTAGCTAACTGTGGATACTTTTATTACTGTACTTAATGTGAATTTTAGCTTATTCAGATGCTCGTCTCTCCTATATAAAGTATGAACTCATAAAACTGGGGTTGTTTCCTTTAAGCTCCGCACCATGCACATGTCAAAGGTAAGACTTCCTAACATGGGGTGAGGACTGGTTAAGCATCTTTCTCACTGAAACAAAATTAGATACAGTTCCTGAACTTTAATACAGCTATAATGTAAGTAGCATACCTGGCATAGATTACACGATAGACAATGTGTTCCTGTGTACTGACGTACAAACATTAAAAAGATAAGCCACTTAGTAAGTTATTAAATGTCTGTGTCTGTCTGTCTGTCTGTCCTAATTTTGGATAAGAAATTTACTTCCAATTAAAGACAAAGGAAGAAAAGAATGGAGAGGGAAGGCATTAAGCCCAGGATTTTCTACACTTCTGTGCAGGATGGCTATGTAATAACTGTTGACTGACAGAGTAAAGGTAACTATACTTCAAGACACTAGAGCAGTGGTTCTCAACCTTCCTAATGCTTTAATAGAGTTCCTCATGTTGTGGTGATCCTCAACCATAAAATTATTTTTGCTGCTGCTTCATAACTATAATTTTGCTACTGTTATGAATCGTAATGTAAATATCTGTGTTTTCTGATGGTCTTACGTGATCCATGTGAAAGGGTCATTTGACCCCCAAAGGGGTTGAGACCTACAGGTTGAGAATTGCTGTATTTGTGGTTTCCTTACCTTTCTAAAATGGGGTATGGGGGTAAGAGGGTAAGGAAATGGTTATAAGGTCAAGAATTGTCTTATCATGAAATATTCTTTTCCTAAAATATCAGCTACTTTTTACTTGGCTTACTTTTTTAAAATTTGTTATGTATGGGTATTTTAATTATATGTATGACTGTGTACCATGCACATGCCTGGTGCCCTTGGAAGTAAGAAGGCATCAGATCTCCTGGAATTGGAGTTACAGACAGTCGTTAGCTGCCATGTGGGAAATGGGAATCCAACCCTAGTCTTTTACAAGAGCAACCAGTGCTTTTAAGCACGGTGTCATCTCTAGTCCCTCCTGACTTACTCCAAAGCTTGTATTTACTAAGTCCTCTTTTGACCAGTAAAGAGCATTCTACAATATTAGCCAGATGATCTCCGTAAGATAATCCCAACTCCCATAAAATGATAGCAATTTATCCTAACCTAGAGCTACACATAAGTGAGAATTATAAATGATAAATTTATTATGAACAGGCAAAACAAAATATATGCTGTCCATAAGTAACAGTACTTTTCTCTCTCATCTCACATTTCTGAATAAAGAGCATGGCTAAAAAAAAAAATCAGATAATACATCTTATATAGTTTTTAATATGAGTTGAACAAATCCATTAACATGTCTGGAAAAAGAAATCTTCAAATTCTAGGGACCTCTTTAATTTATAGGTGTTTCCAGGGGTATTTAACAAGACATCTGTATTTGGGAGATAAGGAGCATTGCATTTTATGTCATCGAGAACATACGTTTCATTTTCAGCTCCATTGGTCTTGCTTTTTCGTTGTTTCTGTTCATTGGTTGCTGGAGGGGCCTGGCCCATGGCAGGGGGTTTCCGTTTTGCTAACATTTTCCGTTGTCTTTCTATCTCTTCTCTCTGTGAATTTATTCTTTCCTGTTGCCTAGAAATATAAAAGATATGGCAGAGAAAAAGGTAAATATTTAGCTGTCATTGCTGTGGAATGAACATAAACAACATGCATGTCTGACGACTTCATTGTCAGAGGTCTGTAGTTAGCCTTTAGGATGTAAGAGCCAAAGAATCAGGGAGGACTTAGTTAGGACTTAAAGGTAAGAGAAAGTGGATAATTATCTGCCTTATAGACTTAAAATATGCCTTTAAAGAATACAGTATTATGAATGCATTCTTCAGATTCAATAAAAACGGAGGCTTATGAACATCATATTTATCTGACTATCCATCCATATATACATATACCATAAACACAGAGTACATAGATTCCAAAATATATTTGGAGAAATAGTAGGCTACATATTCTGAGACCTCTTGCCTAGACATGTAAGTAGATACAGCAACAATCAAGTGTCATCAAGATTCTCCTATCAACCCTTGGGTGTTCTTCAAACTGTTTAGCTGTGTATACGAATAATAAGGTCTTTTAAGCAATGTCTTCATTTAGATTTACTTTGGGAGTACAAATCTCAATAAATTGTAGTATGACTTATAATAGGAAATGTACGTTACCAACTATTTCTTTGAATATATTTGACTTTATTTTATGTGCATTGGTGTGAGGGTGTTAGATCCCCTGGAAAACGAGTTACAGACAATTGTGAGCTGCCATGTGGGTACTGGGAGTTGAACCCGGGTCCTCTGGAAGAATAGCCAGTGCTCTTAACCACTGAGCCATCTCTCCAGCCTCATACCAACAATTTTTAATGTATTCATCACCCCACCTAATGTATTCACACACCACCACTGTGTGTGTGTGTGTGTGTGAACTGCCATGGACCCAGCTGCTTCCCCACTACCATGAACAACATACTGTCTCAACAGGGAACTACAAATAAATCTGTCCTTCTTCAAGTTGCTACTTGTTAGGTATTTGGTCACAGGAATGAAGAGAAGTAATAAATATGCCCTACTACCAAAACAATACTTTATCTGGCAATAGGGTCACTAAATTAGTTAAGAAGTCATACCGGCATAGTGAGCCTTAAATCCAATGACTGATGCCCTTACAGGAGGAGAGCAAAGAGAGCCTCATCAGGAGCATCCCATGTGAAGACAGAGGTAGAAACTAAAGCTATAAGCCACAAACCACCAAGGTTCCTGGGACACCAAGACCTGGGAGAGGCCAAGGATGACTGAGTTCTGGAGCTTAGTCCTGCTATACCTTGTTTCAGACTTTCTTGCTCCTGAACTATGAAAAAACAAAATTCTTTTGTTTTAAACCACAAAGCTTGATATTTTGAATACTAGCACCTTCAACAGCAAAGTGCATTCCAGATCCAACCAGACTATTAATAACTAGTAGGCAATGTAGTTGAAAAAAGTTGAAAAAATGAATTTTCAGACATTATTTTAACTTCTCCCATTAAAAAGGATATGACACTTAAGCAACAAAATGAATTAATTGTCTTAACATGGATCTGCCTGAGAATTAGATGACGCCCTAGAAAATGCTTTAAAATAGGTAGCCTCCTCACACATGTAAGAAAAGACCTAGACAAGCATGACAATACTGTAATTTAGGAAGAAGGAGAGAGACACACTGGAGCCACTGCCAGAACAAGTAACATGTAAAGACGCCGGTAAGCCACCAGCCACGTGGCAAGGTATAGATTTATAGAAATGGGTTAATTTAAGAAATAAGAACAGTTAGCAAGAAGCCTGCAAAGGCCATACAGTTTGTAAGTAATATAAGCGTCTGAGTGATTATTTTATACGTGGATTGTGGGACTGCGGGGCTTGGTGGAACCTGGAGAGAAGCCCTGCAACAACAACTATTGCTGATGATTAGCCACCGTCTTTGTAAAGAGCTCCAAGGACATGTCTCACAAAGTTCTTTATGGTTTTGTCCTACGTTCAAATCCCAGAGTTTCTATCCTAGGTCCTTGCCAGACTGCTTTTTGCCCAGCCGGCTCCTTATAAAAGTGTACCACCCAGAGTTGAGGGTGTAACAGAGCACTGGCCTACAATGTAAGGCCCACATGAGGCGCTGGGTTTGAGCCCAACACTTAAAAAAAAAATTATTAATTAAAAAGCAATCAAGTAAAACTCTGAATCTGTCTTCCTTACTTCAGTAATTTTGAATCTTTTAGGCTCAGTGCAGAACTCACTTAGAACTCAAGTTTTTATCCTTCTGATTTTCTACATTGGTTTTTTAGAATGTTACAGAAGCATGAGTCTCCTGGCTCAACTGCTTGAGTATGGGATTACAAGTGTGTAGCACCACACCGATCCTACATTCCTTTTTCTTTTTTTAAATTTTATTTATTTATATTTTATGTATGAGTGCTCTGTTTGTATACCTGCATGCCAGAAGAGGGCACCAGCTCCTATAATAGATGATTGTGAGCCACCATGTGGGTGTTAGGAATTGAACTCAGGACCTCTGGAAGAGCAGCCAGTGCTCTTAACCCCTGAGCCATCTCTCCAGCCCCAACCCCACATTTCTTTATTGATTCTAAGTAGAGAAAACTGAGAAAAATCCAAATACATTTAACAATTCCCCATTCGACCCGATAGTAGACTTACTTGATGAGGTTTTGGAAAGCATAGCCATCTGTCCACTGCTCAGTAAAAGAGGCTCCGTGGCGGACAGTAGTAAAGTGGCCCAATCGCAAACGGTCCTGCATGCTCTTATCTCTGCACGCCATCTTCTCTTGTTTGGACTGAGGGGAAAAGGACCAAAACAAGTAACACTTTAATTAGCAATTTTTACAAACTGAAAATTAGAGGATTATCAAGGAAAATACTGCTGATAAATCATATACCAATTCAAAAAGGGAAAGATGGGAAGGGAGGGGGAAAAAAGAAAGGAGGGGAGGAGACATCTAACACCTGAAATAAACTCAACAGGGACAAACTGTCAACCTCACACTCAAAGCAATGAATAGCCAGAAAGCATGTCCATATTATTACCTAGGAAGTCGTGGTCTGGTGGACATGCAAGGAAAAACCTCTAGCTATCAAATCATAAGAACCTGATTCCTCAGAAATTCTACACTGCAATATTTTCATCTCAGTTAAGAAGGTGTTACGCAATGACACACATTAAATACCTTAAGATACGGACTTCAGGCTACGTTATCACTAACCTTTTCTATAAGAAGCTTCTTGCTCATGGTGACACATCTGTTTAATCGTTCCTTGTATTTCTCCAGCATTTTTTGCTGTTCATCTATCTGCCGTCTCAAATCACAGTTAGCCTTCAGTGGGAAAATATTTTTTTAATTAGTTTTAAGGAAGATAGATTAGTAGAAAGTACTTCCTAGGAAAAGAGAAAAAGTATTACTCTGTGCAGTAAGCATGCCTCTATAAAGGAAGCATTTCACCCCTTTAATCATTCTTTATGCTACCATGTGAGTGCTGTTTATGTTCAAGTTACTCTGTTTTCAACTTAGAAGTTCTGTTGGTAGTGCTATGGAACCAATCCAAGCCCTTAAGCAAGTATGCTAAACACGAGCTTACCAAGGATTTAAAGCCTTGAGCTTATGTCTAAAGAGAAAAGGAACATGCATTCTCACAAATGACTCTCATCCATGCCCACACTAGACAGAAATAAGATCCTGCTTCAAGAATATGAGGATGTAAGCACACAGTTAATTTAGCTGTGGTCAGAAGCCTACAGGACGGGTTAGATGCTTTGAAAAATTCAAGGTTCCTAAAATAACAGAGAAAGGAAGAACCACTAACCCAAGGTCAAATCTGGCCTTGTAATTCCTGAATTTATCCTCAGTTGTTAAAAAAGAACAAAAGGACAAAACTCTACTCTTGCCAAATAACGACGCTTCTTTGGATGATAGGGGAATCTATTTCTTAACAACTAAATGATATAAGCCTTTTTATAACAACAAAATTTGCTGTTAAAAAAAAAAGTATGGGTGTTTTGCCTGCATGTACATCTGTGCATCATGTGCATGACTTCTGAGACCCAGGAGAGGGCACTGGATCCCCTGGGACTGGAGTTACAGACGCTTGTGAGCCACAATCTAGGTGCTAGGAAGCAAACCTGCGCCCCATGAAAGAATAGCAATTGTCTTGAGTCACTGAGCCATCTCTCCATTGTCTTTCACTGCTTTTGTTTTTTCAGACAGGAGCCCACCATGTAGGATGTACTGGAACTATTATAGACCAGGATGGCCTTGAACTCACAGAAATCTCCCTGTCTCTGCCTCCCGATCACAGAGCTTAAAGGTATGTGCCTACTACAGGGCAGCTTCATTTTTAAAGGAGTCTGTATGAAACAGCTTCCCTTTCAAATGGATCTACTCTCTACACAGGCGTAATTATTCCTATTAGTTGTTATTACAGAATCCTACAGACCATGTTGTCAAAGGAAAAGTCTTACTCCACTTGGGTAAGTGGGACTGTGTAACTCATACTGAAGAACTATAAGCAAATGAGCAAGGAGTGTATCTATAAAATCTAACACACTTCCAGAAGGTGAGCCTTCTCTCCAAGTCTCTGGAGAGATGAAGAGAACCAGCCTCTGGCATTTGAAGTTTTTAACATTAATCATTTCTAGGAGTCCATGTTATGCTATGGTAGGAACTGGCTGACAGTACCCAACATCTCACTAAAATGGGAAAACTCAATGATGAACTTACACCTGCCTGAAAGGAAATTATAAAAATAAAAAAGATCTGTGACTTCACCCTACAACATTCTCCAGCACAGAAACACAAATTCTGCCAGGTATAATATGCCTGTAACCTCAGCACTGTGGCAGAATGTAAGAGGGTGAGTTAGAGGCTAGCTTGAGCTCTAAAGCCAAAAATGTCTTCAGACAGGAAACGGGGGAGGGATTTCAACCAAATCTACACATTCTAATCTATTTGGGGAAAAATGGCAGCTGCCCTTCTGGTTTTTCTTTGTTGATGGATCCATTCCTTCGGTTCTGCTTGACATTCAAACAAAGACAGACACAGAGTGTGTTGACGGGAGGAGGGGTGAGCTCAGGAGTGCAGACAGCGGTAGACAGCGGTAGACCACGTGCGCTCAACACGCACAAGGCCCGGTTCTGGTTCATCACAACTGTCAACTTGACACAGCCTAAAGTAATGGGAAAGACAGCGAGCAACTGACTGGATCAGACTGGCCTGTAGGCATGCATAGGGTGATTGATGGTCTGGATGTAGGTAGGAGCCTCAGCCTGCTGGGGGCCCAGCATCCCTGTGCAGATGGCCCTGAGCTGTGTAAGAAGGATAACTAAGCATGTGCATTGAGCCATCCAGCAAGCAGCATTTCTTTACGGTTTTGCTTCAAGGTTCTGTCCTGACTCCACCAACGACAGACTGACCTGGGAGTACAAGGACATTCACTTTTTTCCTCCTTTAAGCTGTTTTTGGTCAAACTGTTTTCTAACAACAGAAAGGGAACGAGAAGAGGCTGTGAGTTCAATCCACAGAAGACGACAGGCAGGGAATCCAGTAGAAGAAAAGCAGGAGGAAGATGGTGAGGCACCCAAGAAGTGGAACCAAGTTAGGACGTAAGCTTTCGCATATTCCACCATCTCAGTCTGGGTCTGTCTCCCATCCCAATGGTGGGGAGTCATATAGACAAGGGCTCTACTGCTGAGCTACATGCGCCCTTAAAACCATCATCTTGACAAACAGGCTATGAAGAAAGGAAGTAAAACCATAATCCTGGTTGAGTCCAACAAAGCTACTCTGGATAAAACCCTAATGTATACCGGAGTTTGACTAAAGACTTTTTTAAATTTTTTGGGGGGGAGGGGCTTTTGAGACAGGGTTTCTCTGTGTAGTTTTGGTGCCTGTCCTGGATCTTGCTCTGTAGACCAGGCTGGCCTCAAACTCACAGAGATCCGCCTGGCTCTGTTTCCCTAGTACTGGGATTAAAGGCGGGCTCCACTACCACCTGGCTTAAGGAATTTTATATAGACAATGTCACTAGAAATCTTAGTTGGCAATTCAACTAGCCCCCCTCCCCTCTGGAAAAAAATAAATCTAGTTCCAGGGAGATGGGAAGATGTTTCAGTGAGTGTGAATGCTGTTGTGTAAGCATGAGGACCTGAGTTCAAATCCTAACAACCATAGAAAAACCAGATACAGCTGTGGACACCAGCAGTGTGAGGGGCAGAGGACAATCACTGGGGTTTATGACCACCAGTCTAGCTCATGGGGGAGGGGATGCTGCTCATACAACAAGCACACATGGGCCTGCCCCCAGCTCACATGTGCATACAATACAACACACACACACACACACACACACACACACACACACACACACTGCCTACAAAAAATACTTCAAGCAAACAATCAAAATATAAGTAAGATTGTTAAGAATAAATGACTCTTCTCCTTCAAATATGGGGAAACCTAACTCAGAAAAAGAGGCCTAAGGAATGTTAACTCTGAATGAGGAATGTTAACATCAGTTTGAAAATGCAGAAAATGTTGGCATGGTGACACACACCCTTTAATCCTAGGCACTAGGGAGGCCCAATCATTCAATTAAAACAATGTGGATCAGTGATGACAAGTTGCATATACAAAGTGCATTCTGGGCTTCGTCAAGATGAAGCACTGGCTGTCAGACATGTCCTGAAGTAAATGGACAAATGTTTGTCCTGTAAGAAGCTCTGGAGGAAGAATGAAAGTGTTGCCGTTCAAATTCACACTAGGAACAAGAGCACAGATGTTCCTACAGAGCAGGGCATCTTGACCCATGGTCAAGTAAGCCTTCTGGTAAATAAGGGACATTCCTGTTGTAGAGAATGGAGAACTGAAGAGAGAAAAGTACAAATCTGCTTGCATTGTACTGTGGCTGCCAATCTGAATGCTCTCAGCTTGGTTATTATTATTATTATTTTATTTTATAAAGAGAATAGAGATGTATTCTGGGACTGACAGATACTGTCATGTCTCAGTCACTGTAAAGCCCAAATGATCTAGCAAAGTCTACAAATAGTCTGTGTCTCTAAAGAAGATGATGTCTGCTCATATGTTGTTTGAAAGTCTTTCAACAGAGAAGGTAGGAAGCCCAGGACCAAAGCACCCAAGATTCAGTAGGGTACCCTACGTGTCCTGCAACATACACACCAGCACATTGATCTGAGGAAACAATGGACTAGGAAAAATAAGAGGATGTAGAATAAACTAAACTTTTGGCCTAGAGAATGAAGGAAGCCAAAGAACAATTCCAGGCACACACTGCCAAGAGACGCCGGCTGTCTTCACTTCTATTTCTGAGTCCTGTCAAAAATACAAATTTTTGCTGTGTGGTGGTGCACACCTTTAATCCCTGCACTCGAGAGGCAGAGGCAGGTGGATCTCTGTGAGTTCGAGGTCATCCTGGTCTACACAGTGAGTTTCAGGACAGCCAGGGCTACACAGAGAAACCCTGTCTTGAACACCCTCCAAAACAAAACAAACAAACAAAAAACCCCAAATACCAAATTTTTAAGAGGAACAAATATTTGCAGGAAGTTTCAGTGGGCTAAGGTTCCCAATGCCAAGCCTTCAGACCTGAGTTCATTCAATCCTGAGACTGCACAGAGGTAAAGAATATCCAGCTGTGCTCTGACCTCTACACAGACCACGGCTCCAGGTGTACATACACACAAAGCAAATACCGTTTTTAAAGTAACAAATGGCCACCGGGATACATGAGACCCTGGCTTAAAAAAGGTAAAACTAAGGGCTAAAAAGGCGGCTCGGAAGTTAAGAGCTCTTGCAGAGGATCCAGGTTCAATTCCCAGCACCCACATGGCAGCTCACAATCATCTGTAAGTCCAGTTTCAGGGGATCTAATGACCCCTTCTGACCTCCACGGGCACCAACCACATACGTGGTGCTAATACATACATATATATAGGCAAAACATCCACACATAAAGTTGAAAAAAATTAAAAACAAGTAAAAATGATGATCAGATCCTGAATCAAGGAAAAGTGGAGAGAAGTGGGGGAAGAAGAGAGAAAAGGAAATATATCTCCTAGGGTGTTAGACTTAATGGCACTGGCTTATTATGCCAGCACTTGGGAAGCTGTGGCAGGAGGATTACAAATTGAAAGCCAGTCTAGGCTACACAGTAAGATTCAGTCATGTACATGCATGCTGCGCACACATGTGTACACATACAGTGCAGGAAGTCAAAGATCCAAAAGGAGCTGAATGGTCCATGTAAAAATAGGTTTTTAAAATGCAAGAAATGGGACTGCAGAGATGGCCTTGCAGTTAAGAGCACTTACTGCTCTTATAGAAGACCCAGATTCAATTCCCAGTACCCCCACACATGGTGGTTCACTAACTACCTCTGGTTCTAGGGGACCCAACACCCCCTCCTGACCTCCATGGTTTCCTGCACATATGTGGTGCACATATACTCACACACATACACATATAAACAGCCAATAAATCACTTAACAATTAACAACAAAAGCTACTAGGTGTGGTGTTGCATACTTTAAATCCAACACTCGGGAGGGGGCAGAAGCAGAGGCAGGCAGATCACTGAGAGCTCAAGGTCAGCTTAATCTAAATATTAAGTTCTAGGCCAGGCAAGCTACAGAGAAAGACCATGTCTCAAAATAAAAAGAAAAGGAAAAAAAAAAAAAACAACCAAGAATATACACATTAATATTTTCAAATGGTAAAAACGTGAAACTTAATCCAATAATTCTACATGAACTACAACTCCACACACCTGCTTCCCTAACATAAATTCAAGTATCAAAATACTATATCATAAATTCTCCAACTTAAAGAAGGTATTCAGAATGGAGGACATGATTCTAGCTCCTCCTTGGGTCCTCTGGTTTACTGTGTTATCTGGCTATAGTAATGATCCACAATATGCACATGATCTAGACACGCAGCAGTGGTGCTTGTTATAGAGTCTCTTAATACTCTCATACTTACTCTTAACAAATCATCTATTCTTCCTTCCTTCTTCTCTAAGTCAGAGTTCTTACTGTTTTCTAGTGCAGATATTTTTTCTATTGTGAGGTCAGACTACAAAGACAAAAGCAAACAAATTTAGAATTAGTCACAAAACATTACATGCCATCACATTTTTCTTGCCTTTTTTTTTTTTTTTTTTTAAAGCACTTGCTAACATGAACAGTTGGATAGGTAACTCAGGAAATTAAATCTGCTTTACTCATCCCATCCTTCAAACCTTAGCAACATCCACTAAAACCGTACTGCAAAAACATTAGTTCTGGAATTAACTATACAAATCCTCACAATACTGTACATTGAATAAATAAATATAGAACACCTTGGAATTGAAACAGGACTTCAGGAGACAGGACACAAGTCTCTAGGAACAAGTGTGCCCTCTAGTGGAAACAGACAAAAAGCAGAAAGGCAGAAAAGTTTTGAGCACTAAACTATCTAGGTCTCTTTAGCTTCCAAACACTGGTGGTTCCAATAAAAATTAGATCTGTTATAAAGTTCTTAATTGACAAGCACCCTGTGTTGAGAGGAACACAGAGAAGAACACTCAATAAACTAACTTATCAATAACAGTTGGAGCAAAGATCTACTATCTTTTTCAAATATAACTTCCTTTTTCTTTTTCATTTCCTTTTTCTTTGGACAGTCTGAGCTGGCCTTGAAACAAGCTCCTCCTGCCTTAGCCTTCCCATTGCTGGGATTTACAGCCATATGAAATGCTCTCAGATATATTCTGTTAATGTTTATAACCTTCTCTAAGCTAGAAAATTTCTAAAGACTGTTAAAGGAAGAAATTGTGTTGGTATAACACATTTTGAAACGTAAGTAGGTCTTGCCGAGTAATTAAGCAAGTTCAAGAAATAAACCACTTTCTTAAAGGAGTAAATTAACATTTATTGTAAGCCCACTGTCACCACTGCCTGAGGCAATTAGAATCAGCCTAATTTGACATTCTATTAAATGTGAACAGTAGAGCCAGAACTTGAACCTAGACCCAGAAACCTTCAAAATGTGTGCTCTTGTCTCCTTTCCCTGCTGCAGTACAAGCATGCCTGCTACAAAAGACCAGAAAAGTGAAGAAAGGCCTATTAAAATACCTTCCAAAGAACATGAAATACTCATAATACAAATTCTCAAGAGACTACACAATGGAGTACAGTCAAAGGTAAAGGGGAGACAGACAGAAGAGTTACAGACTTTCTATGTGGTTAGGCCTAGTCCTGAGTATAGCTCTGCAGCGTACTGGTCCCCAACCTACCTGGGTCTGTCTGTGCTGGATGGAGATCTGTTTTTGGGAGCTGCAAGAATGTTCTGTATTGGCAGAACCCGTAGAAGAAGGGCTGTTTTGCTGAGCCTATAATAAAAGTACATCACCAATCACAGGAAGGTTCTGCATCTTTCTCCACAAATGTGTATGAAGAGAAACAATTACCTCTTTATAAAACAAACCTTTTCTAATTCAAGTCAAAAGTCATGACCAAGAGGAAAATAAAACAAGTTAAATATGAGAATCAAAAGCTGGATGTGTTACTTTCTTTATTTTGAAGGTAGGCTTTAAATATTACAAATTAGGTTCTCTGTAAGTTGGTCAGTTATTCCTGTAACTTCCTTTTCCACTATGTTCAATGAGCCTCTGTCAGAAGAGCTGAGTGACGTCTACAATGCAGGGACAACAGTCCAAGCAGAAAGGCCTGAGGGGGCGCGAGGAATGGCTCTGCTGTGAGAGCACTTGCTGCTCTTAGCCACGACTGTGAGTTCACCCAGCAGCCACACCAAGTGGCTCATAACCATCTCTAACTCCAGGTTCAGGGAATCTGACAGCCTCCTCTCCTCGGGTACCAGCATGCACATGGTGCACATAAACTCACACAGGTGTGCAGTGCACACCCACATACAAAGAGAGAGAATGTCCAGGACAGGCAGAACTGTTAAGAGAAACCCTGTCTCAAAAAAACAAAACAAACAAAACAAAAAAAGGACTGCAAAGTATTCATAAAAGTCTCCTAAATTCGGCCAGGTGGTGGTGGCACACGCCTTTAATCCCAGCACTGGAGGCAGAGGCAGGCGGATCTCTGTGAGTTCGAGGCTTGCCTGGTCTGCAGAGCAAGATCCAGGAAAGGCACAAAGCTACACAGAGAACCCCTGCGCGCCACCCCCCCCCCAAGTCTCCTAAATTCACAAATATTAGCACAGAAGTATATAAAACTCTGGGTTGCTCTGTGATATTCCCACTTGCTGACTTGACATATAAAAACATTTTGATTTGTGTGTGGTATATATGTACATAACATATTCCTATGTGTATGCGTGTATATGCCAGAGGTCAGTATTGAATGTCTTCCTCTATCACTAACTTCTTTTTTGAGACAGGGTCACTGTACCTGAAGTTCATTGATTTGGTAAGACTAACTGTCCTGCATACTTCAAGGGATCTTCTTGTCTCTGCCTTCCCAGTTCTGTGATTATAGGTGTGTCATACCTAGCTTTTTAAATGGGTACTGAGGATCTATACTTAGGTCCTCATGCTTGAACATGGTTTACTAACTGAGTCATCTCCCCAGATTATATTTTAAATGACTGTGTGTATGTGTGTGTGTGTGTGTGTGTGTGTGTGTGTGTGTGTGTGTAAAGGGGTCTTTTGTTGTTGCTCTGGTGGTGCTAGGGACCAAAATCTATCTTGCATGCGCTAGGCAGGTAAGTACTTTATCACTGACTCACAATTCCAGCCCTAGGCAATTTTTAAATTTTATATAATTTAGGTGTAATATAATTCAACAATTGAGGAATTCATTCACAGTAGCTCTTTAAATCAAGGTACACCTAAAACATAACTCATCACAGACACAACCAGGAAATATCAGATATTCTTAGAATTATGAGATAATGAAAACACAGTTCTATAAGCTCAGATAAGGCAGTTCCCAAACATGTGAACTTGAGAGTCTTAGTGGTAGAACAGGGTAACAAACAGGAGGCCTTGGGTTCAATGTCAAGCATCACAGAAGAAGGGGAAGAAGAGGAGTAGGAGGTTAGGGAAGAAGAAGAAAATACCAATTTCTTCCCATCATTCCTATATATCCTTTTATTACTGCTGCTACCAGTATGTTAGATATACTACAACTATCATCTACTGAACAATTGCTTTAAGCTTAATGCTTCAATGCCAATTTAACATGTAATCCTTATATTTAAAAAAAGGCTGGGGTCAAGTGTGGTGATGCACACCTTTAGTCCCAGCACTTGGGAGGCAGAGGCAGGCAGAGCAAGTTCCAGGTTGGCCAGAGCTACATATTAAGTCTCAAAAATACAAAACAGGCTCGGGAGATAACTCAGTTGGTGAAGTGCCTGCCATGCAAGTGTATAAGGACTAAAGTTCAGATCCCACCTGCCTATACAAAAGCTGAGTGAGCACAGTGGTATGTGGTCCTAGCACTAAGGGGCAGGAAAAGAGACATCAGTCTAGCCAACTGGTGAGCTCCAGGTTCAATAAATCATTTAGCTTAAAGTGACTATTCAGTAGATGATAGTTATATTCAACACAGTAGTAGGAACAGTAATAAAAGAATATATAGAAATTATGGGAAGAGCTGGGCAGTGGTAGTGCACACCTTTAATCCCAGCAGCTAGGAGGCAGAGGCAGAAGGATCTCCGGGTTTGAGGCTAGTCTCCTCTACAAAGTGAGTTCCAGGACAGCCAGGGCTACACAGAGAAACGCTGTCTCAAAACAAATAAACAAACAAACAAACAAAAAAAAATTATGAAAAGAAATTGACATTTTCTTCCTCTTCTTTCCCAACCTCCTACTCTTTCTAGCTAAAATAATAATAATAATAATAATAATAACAACAACAACAACAACAACAACAACAACAATGTAGAGAAGTAATTGAGGAACAGCATCCAGTGTCAAACCTCTGGCCCCCATAACCCCTGCATACGTACACACAAAATTCCTATAAATTGGTGATTATTATTTTTATTTTACAGACAAAGAAAATATAGTCAAACCTAGGTTATCAAGCTAATTAAATTAGGTCATTAGAACTGGGTGCATCCATCCTAATTGTTCTCAATGACAAGAGTAGGCAGTGGCGCACGCCTTTAATCCCAGCACTCAGGAGGCAGAGGCAGGTGGATCTCTGAGATCAAGCCAGCCTGGTCTACAAAGTGGGTTCCAGGACAGCCAGGACTACACAGAGAAATCCTATCTCAAAAACCAAACAAACAAACAAAGCCCATAAGAATGAATATCCATTAATTTCATTTAACAAATGCTATTAACACTGTAAGGTGGGCAATATAATTACGCTCCATTTTTGATGATGATGATGATGATGATGATGATGATGATGAGTCTGTATCACATGTGCCCACAGGGGCCAGAATAAGGTATCAGATCCCAGAGACCTGGAGTTACAGGTGTTTGTGAGCTGCCTAATGTGGGTATCTGAAACTAAACTTTGGTTCTCTGCAAGGACAAAAGTGCTCTTAACCACTGAGTCATCTCTCTAACCCACATTGATTTTTTGTTGTTGGTTGGTTGGTTTTGGTTTTTTGAAGCAGCGTTTCTCTGTGTAGCCCTGGTTGTCCTGGAACTAATTCACTATGTAGACTAGGCTGACCTCAAACTGAGAGAAATCCATCTGTCTCTGCCTCCCAAGTACTGGGACTAAAGGCATGTGCCACCATCGCCTGGTCATTGTGTTTTGTTTTGTTTTTTAAGAAAGGGTTTCTCTATATATCCCTGGATGGACTCAAACTGCAACCTTCTGAGTGCTTATAGATTATAGTTGTATACCACTATACCGGGTCTATGAACACTCTCTTTTATGTATTCATGCCACAACAATTTATTGAATACTTGTAATGTCTAAACACATGGTCAAGGGAAACAAGCACAATCCATACCTTATTCTGCCTAAAGGGAGTTTATAATTCAAAGGAGGGCAGGCCTATAATCCTAGCTACCTGGAAGCTGAGGCAGAAGAATCATAAGTTCAAGGCTGATTTAGGCAACTCACTATGACCCTATCTCAGAAAAAGGGGGGAGGGGGAAGAGATGGGAATATGCTCAGTTGCTGAGTGCTCACCTACTAAGTACAAGGCTCACTATCCAATACTGAAAGAAAAAGTAAAACACTCAATAAATATTTGTTGGAATAAACTGTTGACTGGGTATGGTGACTCATTCCTCCCGTTTACGGGAGGTGGGAATTCACAAGTTCAAGGTCATTTTCAATGCAATTAAGGCCAGAACGGACTACATGAGACCATCTCTTAAAAACAATCTGCTGAGCATGGTGGTGCACGCCTTTAATCCCAGCACTCAGGAGGCAGAGACAGGCAGATCTCTGTGAGTTCAAAGTCAGCTTGGTTTATAGAGTGAGTTCCAGGATAGCCAGGACTGTACCGAGAAACCCTGTCTGGAAAAACCAACAACAAACCAAGTCTAACTCCAAGCCTTCAGATGTGAGTATGTAACACGAGGTAAATGCAGAAACCAGAAAAGCAGAGGAGACCTTGGGGGTTGGAGCAATAGAGGAGAATGACAGGGTACAAGAGATTTGAAGGGGGAAATGGAAAAACATTGGGGCCACTTCTAATTAGGGAAGAGGAAGGGAGATAAACACAGAAGGAGGAGATGGGTAAAATAACACTAAGAATGTCTAAAAAAAAAGACCGAAGGTATCAAATTATCTAAATACCTAAAATTACATAGAATACATATATAGTTTATATTAAAATTTCCCATCTGGAGCCAGGCATGGTGGCATACACTTTTAATCCCAGCACTTGGGAGGCAGGTGGATCTCTGTAAATTCAAGGCCAAGCTGGTCTACAAAGCAAGTTCCAGGACAGCCAAGGTTGTTATACAGAGAAACCCTGTCCTGAAAAACAACAACAAAAATAAATAAGCTTTCTCATCTGTGCTGACAATGTTCCCTGTAAGAGTTAGAGACGATCCAACAAAACCCTGTCACTAGGCCCTTTTGAGTTGTTGGTGAGGACTGTCCAAGAGACTCCCCAAACAGCTACTGCTGCTGCCCTTGGTTGCTTCCCAGAGGGAGAAGTGAAGTCTGACACAGGGCCTGGAGGACCTGAGCTGGACATGCCCTGGTCCCACCCAACTATGATGTCTGTGAACTACCCAGGTGACGCGCAGGCCCGACAGTCGCCAACAGCTCTCTAACTGGAGCCAAGACCAGCTCAGCAAGAGGGAGAGCATGCTGGGACTGGAGACCTAGTCAGCTACCCAGGGCCAGGAAAGTCATGGCTCTCAGATGGAGATTCCTGGATCTATAACCACCACTTGACTAAGTCAGCACAATGCCTAACTCCTCTCTCCCTCTCTCC